ATTGTTTTATCATTATCGACATTAGAACCATGAGCATTTCTGGTTGGGCGTGACGGAATATTGAAAAATAAAAAAAACTAATGGAAATCTGGTGACCTGGTATCCGTTCCTGAAACAGTACCTCACTATTTCATTAGAAAAGAGCAAGATTAAAGTTACATAATTTTGTTCATATGAACATTTTAAAAGACCGACATTAAACCTGAGTTTAATATATATCATATTATCTAATTTATTGGCATCACATATGAAAAACAGATATATATATATATATATATATATATATATATATATATATATATATATATATATATACACTTCAGTTCAAAAGTTAGAGGAAACCCCTGATAGCTTTTTAAATTGGTCCCAAAAGTAGTTCTTTTGTACTTTTTATACATGGTTAAAATAAAGTGAAACATGATTTGTTTATTAGAATTTTTATGATGATGAAAAGGAAAAAAAAAATTAAGATTAAATTTTGCTCTCATCAAAATATCCTCCTTTAGCCTTGATTACTGCAGTACATTTTTGTATTCGTTGCAAAAGTTTTTCAAACTATAAGTTTAATAATTGATTCCATTTTTTTTTTTTTTTTTTTCAATGATTTTAAGACCTTTTTCATTTTTTTTTCACTGTTCTATCAAGTACATCCATGCTGATTCTGGGGGTGGCTTCAAAATTTTGAACCATTATATATATATATATATATATATATATATATATATATATATATATACACACAATAATAATATGTATATGTACAGGTAATAATCAATTGGTATATAATCCAAGTGATTCCTTATAATATAAAATATTAAAACTGATCTTGCTAAGGCATCACAGCGACCTAAGGTAATTCCTATTTAATCCAATGGGGAGGTGTTGTCCAGGTGTTGGAATATCCAGACGTCAAACCCCTTAAAGTTGATTCAAGTTTGAGCCGAAAGAAAGAAAGAAAGACAGATAGTGATAATCGCAAAAGGAGAGTAGGGAGAATAGAGGAAGTTTAAGAAAATAACACGAGGGAGGGAGAGAGAGAGAGAGAGAGAGAGAGGATATACACAGATCGAGAGAGAAAAAAAGCGTGAGGGGTGAGAGACGGCAAATACGGGTCATCAGAGGTATATTATTGGAAATAATGAAGAAAAAAAAGCAGATTAACAAGTTAACAACGCTACCCACCACCCCCGTTCTCCTTTCTACAATTCACCAGTTATTGACCTCCTCCTCTCTCAGCGCAACGATAACCCCGAACACTCGCCTTCATTTACTGATCCCCCTCCCACTTCAAGCGTCCTGTCTTTCTCCATCCTCAACAGCTAACCTCAACCTATCCCCCACGCCTCATCTCCCACTGTCTGTCTCCTTAATCGAAGTGCAATCAAAATTCTCTTAGAAATCAATCAGTGGCAAGCATCGCTTTATAGATTGCGCCCACATCCGGAAGGAAATTGAATTTGCGGGAGGCCGCTCGCATTTTCTAACCAACCACTCCCCACCACAGTTCCTTTCCACTCTACGCTTCCTTTTGCATTCTACCCGCCAACCAACCCATCCAGCAGCCGCCATGGTAACATTCTATTCCAGCCCTGCAAAGTTCCAGAGGAAGTAAAATCCTCAAAACTTTGAAGATGAACGGACGTATTGGCGAGACGGGCGGTCCATCGTTAACGCACGAAGCAACGAATGGGCCGATCTTTTCTCAAACTTTCCTCTTCGATTCTTCTTGCTCTAATCAACCTATGACCGAATCTTGACTCATCGACCAATGCTGCCGCCGAGCACCGATTCCACAGACAATATGGACGCTGAATTCTCGAGTAGTGTTTAGCAAAACTCCTCTCGCATATCGTTCTTCCCGTCTACGACGAAACTACGACGATGCATAAGGTACCAGATAATGAAAGCTCATTAAAACAGATTCAGATCCCTAGCCTTCTCATTCCTTGGAGGAACCACTCCCCGATTGACTATTTCTTTAAATGTTTGGTCAATTGCGAGTTGACGAATCTAACTCATAGTTGGATGTTTTGAAATTAGAGTTGTCTTTCTTCTTGATCGGTTGCCAAAGCTATAGACCTCAGTCTGTAGTGCTATTTGCCAATAGCTGGTGGGAAGAAAAGTGACGGGTTCATGCCTTTTAAGTGAATGTAACTAACTCAACTGGAATTCGAACTCCATCCGAGCTGCTAGTCATTACTCCACCGTGCCTAATAAACGTTGCAAAAAAACGGTTCTTCACGGACACGTGACCGCAAACGTTACCTTGTAACGTTATTGTAACAGAAAAGTGATATAATTATCGAAGGCCGACTCAACACTTTGATAATTTTACAGCCACTCAGCGTCCTGGGTATGTCGATAAACTGCATTCGGCAGCAACGCCTCTGATCAAGAGGTTCTAAGGAGTATGGAACAACCACTTAACTGCTGTTGTTCCAACGTCAATCCTGACTCGGGGTGGTAGCATCTGTTAGGGTCCTAGTTATGGGCAAATATTTAACCCCCAAACACCATGAAAGCGTAAAAATGTTTTTATAGTAAAAATACCAGCAATACATTTTTTTAAAAGAATATATATTACTAGCAATACATTTGACTCTCGACAAAAAATGTGAAAATATATAGAAAATAGGAAAGAACTCGTTAGGTAAATAATCTAAAGTTCTTTAGTATTTTTGTTATTATTTTTTTAAAATAGTGCTCGATACAAAAGTAGAGCATAAATATAATTATTTATTTAAAAATATGATTCCAACACGCTCATGTTTAAAAACAAGAGCCGAAAACTTCAATATAATTATTTGAATTAAATTGAATTCAAGTAAGCTCTGTTCCATCTTCAAGCGATTTTTTTTTGTTAGATGGAACAGAGCTTTCTTTTAATTCAATTAATTCAAATAATTATATTGAAGTTTTCTTTCTTTGATTTGAAAACATGAGAATTTATGCAGCGTGTTTTGAATCATATTTTAAATATATATATATATATATATATATATATATATATATATATATATATATATATAATTTTAAGGGATATATTTATGGGATAAAGTGCTCAAAATTAGAGATAGAGCGTATGTAAATATAAATATAAAGTGAACATTGAAGTCAACACTTAGTAACGACAGTGTTTCATGCTAGGAGCAATCGCTGACTTCAATGTTCACTTTATATATATATATATATATATATATATATATATATATATATATATATATATATATGTATATATATATATATATATATATTATAATAATAATAATAATAATCTTATAAATATAAGTAATTATACTCGTCTGGAAAAAAACTTAGGTGGTTTGTCTTGTTAAATGAACAAACCAATACCCAAGGAAAAATAAGGAATAAAAAAAAGAAAGAACTAAGAACAATCGACCAGAATCCAAGCTCGGAATCCAAAGAAAAAAACCGAAGACATGTACGTTGATGATCCGTGTAGGTGAAACCTAGGTAGGTTTGCCTGGCTGTTTAGGTTCGTAATTATATATATATATATATATATATATGTGTGTGTGTGTGTGTGTGTGTGTGTGTGTGAGAGGCAGAATTTGGCTTTATGAATTAGAACTACAAGGTGACTGTCAATTTTACGTAGCATGCGATCTTCAGACCATGTGTCACTTCTCCTTTCATCGGACATATATATATATATATATGCTCCACTAGGTGATTAAGTGAAAGGGAGGAAGGGGAAAAGTATAGTGGGGGGGTGCGAAGGAAAGAAAAGTGGAAGGAAGAATGAAAAGAAGGATGAGAGAGAAAGAGAAACGGAGAGGATGGGAATAAAGGATGATGAAAGGAAAAAGGGAGAAGAAAAGAATGCAAGACAGAAGGATGCCGGGAAAGAAGAAAAGAAGTAAAGAAAGAAAGAAGGAAGGAAGGAAAGAAAGAAAGAAAGGAAGGAAAGAAGGAAGGAAAGAAAGAAGGAAGGAAAGAAAGAAGGAAGGAAAGAAAGAAAGAAAGAAAGAAGGAAAGAAAGAAAGAAAGAAAGAAGGAAAGAAATAAGGAAGGAAGGAAGAATGCAAGACACTACACACACACACACACAAACAGGCTCTGTCTTTGCCAACGCATCATCCTCCGACGTGACGCGAAGCATTAGATGAGATGGTTTTTCGCAAAATCTTTCCATTTGTCGGTAACCTTTCGATACCGACACCTTGTCATAACGACAAATCCTAAACCATGAACAACAACTAGATGAAAAAAGTTATAAAGACGAGAACAAAAACAAAAAAATAAATAATAATGAAACGTGAAAAAAAAAAAATAAAAAAATAAAAAAACCCAACAAATTCAGGACTATTCAATTGGGTAGATTTTGATATCCGGTGTTTGGGGAATGTGTCTTTTTTTGGGGGGGGGGATGTGGGGGGGATGGCTTGAAAGATCCTGAAGTTTTTCGATGGCATGGGGTCTGGTTTTCCCTCTCGAAGACAAATCCTCTCAATGAAGGGAAACATGCAGAGATTTAGCCGGTTAAGTCTGGCACAAGGCTACAGATATTGGACGATTGGAAAAGGGATGTAGCTTGAGAACGTTGCAGATTAAGGCAAAGCTGTTCAGTGGGAATAAAGTGGGAAAGAGAAAAAAAATGACAGATGAAGAAAACAAAAAGAAGAAAGGAGACATTTTGGTAAGGAAAGGAGAAGGAATTAAAAAAAAAACTCCTTAGAATAAAAGAAGAAAAAAAGAAAAAGGGAAAGGAAGAAATCAAAATAGTATTTTTAAAATATTTCATCCGACAAAGGATGTCTGGAGCCAGTCACGATAGTTCCCTGGCAGATTGTTGTTATTTTGTTTTTTGTTTTATCTTAGTCAATATTCCCACCCATTTACAAAGAAAAATAAACAAACCAATAAATGATTATCATAATAACGGTTCTTTTTGGAGTTTTCTGTTTCTTACTTGTTTTTGTTTTTTTCTCTTGCAGATAATTCGACGATTTTTGGTAATATTGTTTACATTTACGTGACTAGTGATTAAGAAAGAAAGAAAGAAAAAAAAAACAGCCCCCCAAAAGGACGAAAAGAGAAAAAGCTGAATATATAACAAAAGTTAAGAAAAAAAAGTAGCAATAAGTAAGGAAATAAATTAGAAAAAAACAGACAAGAAATGAAATACAAGCAGAACGAATAAGGTACGAAAGAAAGAAAATTAATATAAGAATGAAAAACAAATCAGAATGACATGAAATACAGAACAAAAGAATGAAGAAGAGAGGAAAGAAAGAAGAATGAAGAAGAGAGGAAAGAAAGAAGAATAAAAAAGAGAGGAAAGAAAGAAGAATAAAAAAGAGAGGAAAGAAAGAAGAATAAAAAGAGAGGAATAAAAAAAGAAAAAGAATAAAAAAGAGAGGAAAGAAAGAAGAATAAAAAAGAGAGGAAAGAAAGAAGAATAAAAAAGAGAGGAAAGAAAGAAGAATGAAAAAGAGAGGAAAGAAAGAAGAATAAAAAAGAGAGGAAAGAAAGAAGAATGAAGAAGAGAGGAAAGAAAGAAGAATAATGAAGAAGAGAGGAAAGAAAGAAGAATAAAAAAGAGAGGAAAGAAAGAAGAATGAAGAAGAGAGGAAAGAAAGAAGAATAAAAAAGAGAGGAAAGAATGAAAAGAAAAGAATAAAAAGAGGAAACGAAAAAAAAAGAAGAATGAAGAAGAATGAAAAAGAGAGGAAAGAAAAGAAGAATGAAGAAAGAAAGAAGAAAAGAAGAGAGAAAGAAAGAAGAAGAAAAAAAAAAAAGGAAAAAAGAGAAGGAAAAGAAAAAAAGAATAAAAAAAAAGAGAAAAAAGAAAAAAAAAAATGAAGAAAAGAAGAAGAAGAAGAGGAAAGAAAGAAGAATAAAAAAAGAGAAAAAGAAAGAAGAATGAAGAAGAGAGGAAAGAAAGAAGAATGAAGAAGAGAGGAAAGAAAGAAGAATAAAAAAGAGAGGAAAGAAAGAAGAATGAAGAAGAGAGGAAAGAAAGAAGAATAAAAAAGAGAGGAAAGAAAGAAGAATAAAAAAGAGAGGAAAGAAAGAAGAACGAAGAAGAGAGGAACTAATAGCGAATGAAAGAAAGAAGAAAACAGAATGAAAAAAATCAAAGATTAACGAAAGATTTACAAAAATGAGAAAATGAAAGAGAAAATCTAGCCGTGATTGAAATGACGAAAAAGGATGAGAAATATTATTTTTAAGATTAATCCACAAAAAAAAAATAGCATTTAATGAAAGAAAGAAAAAGTAAAAATAAAAGTGAAAGAGCAAATGTTACAGAAAAAGAAATAAAAAAGAAGAACGAAATCAAAAGTAGAAAAAATCTGTGATGAAAGAAAAAGTAATCAGCGCGAAGAGAGATCAGATAAAAAAGAAGGAAATTAAATAAAAAAAAAAGCAAAACAAGAAAAGCGATAGAAAATAAATAAATGAAGTGAGAAAAAAAAAGACGGAATGAAAAAGGAATAAAAAGATAAAAAGATAAATTCAAAGAATAGGGAGAAAAAAAAAAAAAACGAAATATTTCGAAATAAAAGAAACCAAAAATGGAATCCTACAAATGAAGAACTGACCAGTATATTAAAGGTTTCTAAAAAAATAAAAAAAAAAATAAAAAATAATGAAGAATAAAGAATTTTTCTTTTTTTCTTTTGGGGGGAAAACGTAAAACAAAATGGGGCTGACCATTCAAACAAACTTTACAAAAGAGGACAGCCAACCAGATTTCTTTATCTATCTCACTGCCCCACCCTTCAAGGCGCTCAGTCATTTCACACACAGAAATCGAAAGAAGGATAGCTGTGGAGAGGGAGAGGGAAAAATACTTTTTGGTGAACAAGGTCTACGCAATATCAGAATACGCCCCATTCGAAAGATTTATAGACAAACAGAAATGAATATAAAAATAAGTTTTTAAAGATAAAATAAATAAATAAAACGTTTCGCCATTGCAGAATATCCAGAGATTCGGTCAAAATCCGACCAAAGACTCTTATCCAGCATCCAAAATTTCAGATTTATTCGTCATCAAAAGAAAAGTTAAACTCGAAAGAGAGAAACACACAACCATCACCACCAACAAAACAAACAAAAATCACGAATGTAACTAAGAAGGAAATTAAATAAAACTGAGAGACACAGGGGAAGCGGCTTAGATAGATAGATAGATAGATAGATAGATAGATAGATAGATAGAAACAAAGATAGATAGATAGATACGTAGACAGATATAAACAAATATAAACAAAGATAGATAGATAGATAGATAGATAGATATAAACAAAGATAGATAGATAGATACGTAGACAGATATAAGCAAAGATAGATATAAACAAAGATAGATAGATAGATACGTAGACAGATATAAACATAGATATAAACAAAGATAGATAGATAGATAGATAGATAGATATAAACAAAGATAGATAGATAGATACGTAGACAGATATAAACAGATAGATTGATAGATAGATATGAGCAGAGATAGATACGTAAACACACACACATATATATATATATATATATATATATATATATATATATATATATATGAGCAGAGATACATAGATAGGTAGATAGACATAGAGCAGAAATACATAGATAAAGAGCAGAGATAGAAAGATAGAGAGATATGAGGGTAGATAGATAGATATAAACAGAGATAGGTAGATAGATATGAGGATAGATAGATATAAACAGAGATAGGTAGATAGATATGAGCAGAGATAGGTACGTAGACAGATATAAACATAGATAGATATGAGCAGAGATAGATATGAATATATATATATATATATATATATATATATATATATATATATGCAGAGAGAGAGAAAGAGAGAGAGAGAGAGATGAGCAGAGATACATAGGTAGATAGACATAGAGTAGAGGTACATAGAAAGCAGAGATACATAGATAGAGAGAAAGATATATGAGGATAGATAGATAGATAGATAGATAGATAGATAGATTGAGAGATATGAGGATAGATAGATAGAGAGAGAGAGAGAGAGAGATGAGGATAAATAGATAGATAGAGAGCAGAGATACATAGATATGAGCAGAGATAGATAGATAGATAGATAGATAGATAGATAGATAGATAGATAGATATGAGGATAGATAGATAGAGAGAGAGAGATGAGGATAAATAGATAGATAGAGAGAGATGAGGATAAATAGATAGATAGAGAGAGATGAGGATAAATAGATAGAGAGAGAGCAGAGATAGATAGATAGATAGATAGATAGATAGATAATTTCTTTATTTCGATTTTATTACTTATCACTATAAACGTTATATTTTGTGGGTGCTTGTTTTTGAATTCATATAACCTTTTTTAATTGTATAATTTCTTAATATTTTTTAAACAGTGCATGATTTGTTAATTTTAAAACACACACACTCACACCCACAAATTACTTTCATTCTGACCCGAAGAAGCCTATCTAACAAAAATGAAACGCGTTGTCTATAAAACTGTTTTCCACTTTGGCTACTAAAAGGAAAAAACTGAAATCGGGATATTCGGAAAGGGCATGTTATGTGGAACGAAAAAAATTTACCCCGGTAGACGAAATAAATGATTCGGTTCGAAATTCCAATCACCTGAAGAAGATAGCTGGAGCCTACAACGGCTGAAGCGTAGAGGATATGACAACAAACATGAGGACCAATGTAAATAGTTACAATACTTCATCTCAGAAATATAGACAGATTTTATATATTTCAATAAATCGAGAAAAGAAGAAGTGACTTATCTGATTGACCGAATCAAGTATTTCGTGTCGAAACGCTCATCGGGGAGAATTTACAATTTATCTATCTCCAGAAGTTGGGAGTCAGACAGTTCGTTACTAAGAAGGGAATTAAAGAGAATAGGAGCCATTTATTATCTTTTTTTTTTCTTTTAATCGAGCCGCCATTTTTTTCTGCCCATTCAGTTACAAACTCTTGACGTAATACGAATATCAAGGAATAAAAAGCAATTTTTTTTCTCCAAGGTTAAATAATTCCTCTATTTTCGGCAACACCTGAACATTATTTTTGATATTTGATAATGCTATATATATATATATATATATATATATATATATATACTCGACCCTCCCGTCGAATTCGACTTATGAGGGTCATGCAGATCAGTTCCGAGGAAACTGACAGCTTGACACCAGCAGATGAGTTTTGATTATAGTGGTGAAGGTTTTGTGCAGAACCATCCACACTTTTTGAAGGGCCGAATGCAGAGACTTGGTCCACTCCGCAGGTTTTGAATTCAGAGTTGTCCTTCTCCTAGACCAGTTGCCATCCAAGGCAACCCAATCTGTTCTGCTATTTAACCATAGCTGGAAGGAGAAAAAGAGGATTCACACCTTTCCCAAGGGTATTAGCACGTAAGGAATTCCAACTCGTCTCTCCGATTCCTCAATCCAAGCCGCTATCCTTTACTCCATCGTGCTATATATATATATATATATATGTGTGTGTGTGTGTGTGTGTGTGTGTGTTCTTGAGTTCTTGAAATACCTGCTACTCAACCACGTCTTCCTAGTCATATAAATTTTATCACTCTCTGTATTTTCATATATTATCTCCGTCCCTGTGCTGGTGGTATCACGGCTTTGACCAGCTTAGACCAGCTATGACTTGCTTGAACAAGCTACGACCAGCATAGACCAGCGGCCCGAGTGAAAACACTCGGGTCCCCACGTTAAAAACTGAACTTGTGTCACAACCTGACTCAGTGGGGGGAGGGGTTAATGTAAATATCTACTATCTACATAGTTTTTCACCTAATTTCTTTTATCCCCACCCCACACTATTGACTTGATCTATTCTTTTCTCTCTTTCTCCTCCTCCGCCACCCAACAATTTATCCCCCACTTTTTTCCGCCCATATCTAATTCTTCTTACCGTCTTCCTCATCCATTTCTTTGTCTTTCATATCTACTTCTCGTAAATTCAGTCTCCAGATCGCCATCCACCCCAGCGCAGCCATCGCACTCCCTTGCCAATCCGTGGGTCTTTTTAAACTAATTTATTTGATGTACACGATTCACTTACAGACAGTATTCCTGAACAAGGCCAACATTTTTTTCTTTTTTTTTTTTTTTTTTCTTAGCTGTCCATCTATTTGGTCGCTATTCTTGAGATTATTGCCTCGCCTTTTAAGACACCCCCCCGGCATCTGTCCCCTACTGGTTCACATTTTTACCGACATTCTTCTCCCCACATCTTTTCACCTTTTCTCTTTACTCAGTCTATTTTTGTTCATATTTTATATATACAGTGTAACCCGAATATAAGAGAGCTGTCAGGACCGGAGAAGAAGTCTCTTATATCCGGGTTTGGTCTATATGTATACATTAACACAGGCTCTAATTTGGGACCAGAGAAAATCTCTCTTATATCCGGGTTACACTATATATATATATATATATATATATATATATATATATATATATATATATATATAGTGTGTGTGTGTACACGGAATTGCAATCTAGATACAGGCATCCCTCGATTAATGCGTTTTCGATTAGTGCGCTAAAAAATTTATATATAAAAATTCGTTTATTGCGTACATAATACTCGATTAGTGTGGTAAAACTCTTTCCAGTTGAACCATAGTAATTGAAAGTGGGAAGTGCAATAAGAGAAGAAACTCTTAGCATAAAACTTACGTTCTTCGTTTCTGATTTTGTAGGTCTTATGAATTATCGCCTTGCTACAATTAATAGTATTAAAATAATACTATTAATTGTAGCAATTACAGCCATTGGTGCTTCGTACTAATCTAGCAATCTATCAACACAACCTTCCAGTAGAGTAAGTAATGATTAAGAAGTCATTCTCAGGAGACTAACTCCTGTTTTGTGTTCGCTACTCACTGGGTGACCTACGCTTGCGACCTGCTACACGATTTAGCTTCGCGAGAAGCAAGGGTCAGCAATAGTTGTGTGTTAGTTTTTACGCGTTCCTTTCTTTTATGGGACTTTTTCTTTCTCTTCTTTCGTTCTCTCTTTTTTTTTTCTTTCTCTTCTCTCTTTCATTTCGCACCTTCTTTTTTCTTTCTTTCTCCCTTGTATGCATACACTTCTTTTTTTTTTGAATACTTTGATTCTTCAAGAGGTTTGCAAAAACTTTCTCTCTATTTATTTCTCTCTTCTTTCTTTCTCGCTTCCACTTTCTTTTTTTAATGCCGTGGAAAGGAAGAGAGAGAAAAAGAGAGAGAAACTCTCTCTTTTTCTCTCTCTCTCTTCATTTCACTTCTTTCTTTTTTTAATGCCGTGAACCTTCAGGAGGTTTTCAAAATCTTTCTCTCTATTTACTTATTTCTCTTTCTTCTTTCTTTAATTTCTTTCTGGGTTCTTTCAGCCTCTGTTTTTCTTTTTTCTTTCGTTATCGCTTTCATTTCTTTCAGCCTTCACTTCTCTCTTTCTGTGGAAGTGTTTCCAAGTTCCCGACCACCCCCGCAGCCACTCCCCAACCTCGCCGGTCCGAAAAACATTATTATTATTATTATTATTATTTTGACATCGGCAAACAAGAGAAATGCCGACATATTCAAACTTGATATGGTCACTAGGGAAGTCCACCCTACTCAAGACATTGTCTTCGGTGACTTGACCGTATGTCCTTGGATATTGTCTGGTTTTGAAGGCCTGGCCGTAATCCGATCGATTACTGCCGACCACACGGCGGTCTCCCAACGATCTCCTTCTTCTTCTTCTTTTGATTCCCATCCATTCTACTCCCCGCCTCCCAGTCCCTGTTTTGGGCATCCCTTTTGCATTAAGCAGACAAAGAAAAGCATAACAAAAAGCAAACAAGGAACACGACAAAAAGAACATAAAACATGCTTTAAGGATGGAGGACTTGCCTAGCTGGCTTGATTGTACAGTGCAATACCCAGCGGCTACGAGGCACTAGATTCACGTATATTTTGGTGACACAGAATACAAAAAGAAGTGTGGCGTGTATGTTGATTTCTAACTGCAGAAAAGAGTATATGTTCTTACGAGTCACATTACATATATACTATCTATAGTCTCCCAATATTATAAATTCATGACCACTAAAATTCCTTTCCCGATTTTAATACATTTGTATAGTAAAACCATTAGAATTAAATTTTCAATGAAAATAAAAGTGTTCTCTACTCTCAGTAATGCTTTCATTAATACCTGATCCAGTGATTCTCAGTGTTTTTATGCAACGGCACATCTAGGAGAACATGAAAATATCGCAGCACACTTAGAAAAAATTAATATATATATATATATATATATATTGATAATATTAATGGTCAATATATACATATATAAATATATATTGATAATATTAGTGGTCAATATATACATACATATATATTGATAGTATTAGTGGTCAATATATATATATATTGATATATTGTTAATATATATATATATATATATATATATATATATAGATAGATAGATAGATAGATAGATAGATATATAACTTTCCAAGAGGATAGAATACAGGTAGAACTCAATGTTCAGGACAGAGTAAGAATATAAAAGGCTCAAAAACTAATATTCCATGGTTATAATTTATTACATTAGAATCCTAATCTCGATCCAATTCATTAGACCTACAAATTATATATATATATATATATATATATATATATATATAAACTTGTTTTATTTCAATGTTTTTTTCCCAGATATTTGTGCAGCTTATTTATTATTAAACCTGTGCCTAGTGCTTTTTTCGCGATTTCTTCAATGTTTTGTCGAATGTGCGATAAGCAGGTACTTATGTGGAAAAAAAGGTTAATATTTATTTATTCAAAGAAAGGAAAATTTTTAAATGTTAAAATAAAAATACTTTTTAAAAACTTTTTTTTTGAAGAATAGTGAAAAGAATTATTTGAAAAAAAGTTTAATAATTATTCATTCATTCAAATACTAACGCTGTACCATTACTACTCCCCATATATATATATATATATATATATATATATATATATATAGGTAATAATCCGTTGGTATATAATCCAAGAGAAATGTAATAATATAATATTAAAACTGACCCACAAAGAGAGTTCAATGTATTTATCACAACAGAGCATATATAAATAAATAAATTACAAAGAATAGAAATTCAAAATGACCTCTTTTAAATAGCTATTTCACCATACAAGTACTTCCTTGCAAGAAGTAATAGCTTATAAATTTTAAACATTTTTTTTTAAAAAAGTTTAAAATTTTCAAGTAGTAGCTATATAATAAATCAAAATTAGGAAAAATAGGAATTTTGTGTTACGCCAATTCCCAAGTTATTAAATAAAACTTGTATCATAAATCAGTATTATCTTTAAAAAATATTGCAATCTAAAAATAATTCTTGTCTTTAAATAACCTGCATAGGGCTGATAAGCCGTAGAAAACTCAATGAAATACTGATAAGCTACAAAAGCATGTTTTTAGATTTATTTACATTCTCTGTGATGTAAATGTATAAAATGTGACGTGGCCACAAAGTGATGGATCATTTTATATATTGATTGTAATATAGAATTGATCCGCTACTTTATATCAGTCAGTTATGTGCCATGTGTGATACAGGCGATCATGTATCTTTCGATACATGACTGACGATGCATATTTTTTTTCCTGAAGTAGGTTGCCATTTTTTCTGCAGTAGACCAGTTGCCATCCAAGGAGTAAATCAGTCTTATTTAAAAATATTGCAATCGATATTATAGAACCAGGCCTGTCCTACTATTTACCCATGGGGAGAAGAAGAGGGTTCATATAGTTCCCAAGGGTATTAGCACGTAAGTGAATGTAATGGATTCGAACTCGGCTCTCCGATTCCTCAATCCGGGTTGCTATCCATTACTCCAACGTAAGTTCTTGTTAGTTTATCAAATTCGGATTAGGTATAAATTTACCACTTCTCCCCTCAGCTATGGGTTAATTAGTAATACTTGTATCACTAAATCATTATTATGTCCAAACATAAAAGAATAAAAAGATTATAATCTAAAAATATTTCCTGGCTTTAAAGATAGGCCGTAGAAAACGAATTAACTCTCCAATTCTATACTTCAGTTCAGACTTTATTCTCAACCGTTTCATTTGCCATTAATTTTTATGTCGGCATTTTGTTTTTACTGTTTATTTTCATTGTTCTTAGACATTTTATCAATTAATTGCCCAAGCCATTTTTTTTTTCTTCCTTTTAAATCCTTCATATTCTCTTTCATTCTCTGATCTCTTTCCTCATTCACTTAACAAAAATAAACATATGCCCAAATCAAACTGGGTGGGTTGGAGAACAATCTCGTCTTTTTTGATTCAGACCTTCACAAACCCTTTCTCAAAATAAACCTAATCGAAAATTCATTACTTTGTTATTATTTAGGGTTTAACAAAAAAGGAAAAAAAAAAGTCTTTCATTTATTAATTTATTCGTCATCCACACTGCAACGGCTTTCGTTCAGCTCGGCAGTTTTCTTCTCATTCTCTTCGTCTTTTATTCATTGCTTTGGGGTTTTTTTTTGTGTTTTGTTTTTATTTTTCTCTCGAAGATTTCTGCTAGACACTCCAGCCCAATCCCCGATCTGTTAAAACTTAATATTTTAATTGAAAGATGTTGTCGTTTCTTGAAAACGGAGAACTCTACTCCAAACAACCGTGTTGTTAGCCGACAATGTCACAGCCGCCATCTTTATTACAACAGCTTCTTTTATTATTTAAATGTATTTATTATGTTGTATTATAAACCTTTATTATTATTATTATTATTAATTACGTATTAATTTTATACTTTTTCTTTCTTACAATTAATTTTGTTCTATATATTCATACATTTACAATATCGTTCTCACGAAGCTAGTTTTAATAGTATGACTTTTTATGCAGATTATTGCAGACAATAATGTCATTATTATTGATATTTTTATGACTATGCTATAGTTTATAATTATTGCATTTGTTCTTAGCATTACAATATAGACCAGCCTCGCTTTTCGAACGTCTCACATTTCGAACAAATCGGTTTTCGAACAGAAAATTCGAGATGAAAATGCCTCGGTTATCAAACAAAATTTCGATTCTCGAACAACATTGCCCAACCGAGCCGAACCGAGTTAACCCGAATGGAATCATTTCTAAGTCTCTGCCGTGTTGTATACATTCATGTGTTATTCCGTGCTTTTCTTTTCCAATTTTATTCTACTGTGAGTTTTTTTTTTTTTCTCTACATTGATTCCTAAATAAATTCGGTTTACGAACATTTCGGGTTACAAACGGCCTTCAGGAACGAATTAAATTCGTGAGGCGAGGTTCCACTGTAGATAGATCATTTCTACTATAATTTGGTTATTTTATTTTTCAATTTTTCCGCTATTATTATCATTATTGAAAACAATTTTTTATATCTGTTCCGTTAAATAAAATATGGTGGCTATAAAATATGGCAAATGCAAAATTAATTAAATATTTACTAATTTTGAAATGGGATTATTTATATTTTCTTCTGAGTTTGTAGTCGACAATGTTAACAGTATTGTTCCATGGTAGAAAGAATTCTGCTTCTTAAATCGTTAAAATTAACAATACCCTAAGATTGGTATCACGACCATTATCGATAAAAAATTATAGCCATATTAATGCAATTCTGCTAAATTGCCTAAATTTTCTACATGAGAAATCTATAGCTTTTTTTTTTATCTATAAAGTTATTTTTTATAACATAAATATGTATATAACAAAGAATTCTGCTTTTGAATGTATTATCATCTTGATCTCCCTTACTTATTTTTTTAAATAAAATTCAAGATATTCGTTTACTCGCGTTGAGTCATACCTCCTGTTACAAGAACATCAAAATATTACATTACTTAGACGGGAAGATCAGGTTGCGTAACCGATATATATATTTATATATATAAAAGTCACTGTCTGTTCTATATCATTATTATTATTTACGTGCGGTGTCACCTCAGCATATGAACGATCATGGCTCTCTACAGCTTCCTGTCTTCGCTACTGTTGGCGCTTTAATATTATCATTGTTCTAATTATTGATACATTTTTGTTATTTTTAGATCTGTTTTCATTCCTTCGATGATTATTATTTTAGCGGCAATCTGTTTTCAGTTTATAATCGACCACGGCTCTCCACAAATTTTTGTTTTTGTTACAATCAACTAATTTACTAATGTTATTGTTCTAAGGATTGATACATTTTTGTAACTGTTTTTATTCTTTCGTTTTTCATTATTGTGTGCAGAGTCCCTACAGGATCTAAGTGATCATGGCTCTCTACATCTTCCAGTTTTTGTTACTATTAATACTTTGATATTATTATTGTTCTAATTATTTTTACATTTTTTTTTAAATATTTTGTTGGTTTTATTATTATTTATTTTTCCATTATAAATTTTATTAATCTCAAAATTTTTTTGTCGCCATTCTGCAGTGGAAAACAGGCAGGTGTTTGGCGTCTGATTATTTTTCAGCAACTTCCATCGCCATTTCGGTCGGCTTTACGCTTTTGTATCTGTTCGACAACGGGACCAATTAAAATCATGTCAAGGCAATTATTCAACCGGATATCCCTTTTCAGAAGGCCGAAGTTTTCAGACTGACCCCCCCCTCCGCCAACCACAACAAACACACATCTTTTCTCTCACACACACTCTCTCTCCCCTTTTATAAAGGCGATAACACACGGACACGGCATCGAAAAGTCCATTCAAACGTTAGATGAAATTATCCTGCAGTAACTAACGGTATATGATTAATTTACATCAGTAATGTTTGCCTTAATTCCTGACCACTGACAATCCTTTTCTTGCCGATTTGCAACGTAAAGACTGAAGGGTGAAACAAAATTCAGATTAACGTTTGCAGCGTTTGGTGCTGACTTATCAAATTCTGCGTCTACTGACAGAAGCGGTCTGATATTGCACAAAATGATGGAAGATGAAGGAGGGAAGTGACGTGCGCATCGATGACAAATAGCCAAGTTCAAATAGAGTAAATCCTAAAAGACATCCGTGATGAATCTGCCGTTGTCCCGGCTGTTGTAATTTGATCTACGTGATTAACAGAGTGAATGAAAGGTATTTGATAAAATAGGCGACTAGATAGATAAAAAGAAGCAGAGATTGAAATTGATTTAGATAGATAGATAGATAGATAGATAGATAGATAGATAGATAGATAGACAGTGAACAGACATAGATAGATAGATAGATAGATAGATAGATAGATAGACAGATAGACAGTGAACAGACATAGACAGATAGATAGATAGATAGACAGTGAACAGACATAGATAGATAGATAGACAGTGAACAGACATAGATAGATAGATAGACAGTGAACAGACATAGATAGATAGATAGATAGATAGATAGATAGATAGATAGATAGATAGACAGTGAACATAAAATAGATAGATAGACAGAGACAGACATAGATAGATAGATGAACAGACAGATAGACATAGATAGATAGATAGATGATAGTGAACAGACAGATAGATAGATTGATATATAGATAGATAGTGAACAGACAGATAGATAGATAGATAGATAGATAGATAGATAGTGAACAGACATATAGATAGATAGATAGATAGATAGATAGATAGATAGATAGTGAACAGAGATAGAAAGATAGATAGTGAACAGAGATAGAGATATAGATATAGTGAACAGACATAGATAGATAGATACTGAACAGACATAGATAGATAGATAGTGAACATAGATAGAGAACAAACATAGATAGGTAGTGAACAGACATAGATAGGTAGATAGATAGTGAACAGACATTGATAACGAAAAGAGTGGGATAGATGAACCTGAAAAAGAACTAAATAGGTGGGCAGATAAGACGAAACTGAGACAGTTATGAAGTTAGTGAGATAGATTTGTTACACACACACACACACATATATATATATAAATAAAGACTTGGTCTTAAAATGTTATTTTCCAAGTCCACTTCCCCACAAAAAATTATTCTGATGCTTAACCATTTAAATCTTGAATTAGGGGAGAATGTTGGGTCTGGAATCTTTCAGCATCCCATCGTATATAAAGAGGCAGACAAACAGTGAGATTCCAGAATCTTTTTTTTTTTCTTTCTTTCTTTTCTAGGAGTTACATGACCTACGGCAAATGTATTTCATTTTCTTGAAACTTCTGAAAATTTCCACCAAAGCTCGTTAACCATACAAGCCTGTCTTTGTTTCCTCATTACGAATTCTCCTTCCACACAGAACCCCACCTCTCTCGCCACACAAACACACGTATATATAATATGCTATAGGCTCCTTCTATGTTTAAAAAAAAGAAAAAAAAACTGCACGCAGTGAATGACAAGGATTTTCCTATCAACTTCCAAATCTCACACTACCTTCCCAGCAGCCAATGGCAAGACGCGACCCACAGAGCGCGCTGAACTCAAAACAGGCCATTTCCCGCTGGTTTTACCAAAAGCGTTATATATATATATATATATATATATATATATATATATATATATATATATATATATATATATTATTCTTAAAACGAGAGTGCAAGCTACTGAAGGAGTCAAAACGGAGAAGATACCACCAAGCGGAATTTACTGCAAGGAATATTTGCAGATCTCTGTATGTTGTGAGCCGAAAAATCCGGATATGACCTATGCCCCACGTGTAAAGATAAGTACACCTGAAGAGCCGCCAGCTTTGAAACCTACACACCGCACCCCATACCAACGGGGGTACCTTCCAATGCTAAAGAATTTGGGGTAAATTTTTTAGACTTAAGAAAAAAGATCATCTTTTTTATGTTAAAGTTTGTTCAAAATGCAACATCTGGCGAAGCTAAGATAGACAGAATGGGAAATATTAATTAGTTATATATATATATATATATATATATATATATATATATATATATGCCAGACTAAAAATATCCTTAGTATCGGAAAATCTTTCTCCTGGCAGAAACTGAAAGAGTCATGTATTCCTTTTTTACATTACCGAAAACACTTTTTGAGTCGAAGATAGAGAATTCGGGTTGGATTCCTGTTAGGAGAAACATTTTTACTCTCAATCTCTAGGCCGGTTGACATTAATTTCACTGTTTAAAATAACAGGGATGCCGAGAATTGAACCCGAACTGTTACGGTAGTGGACGTGCACTGCTCAGGAGTCCTAAATAGGAAGAAACGGCCGTTCAGGGCTTTCTGCATTTTGTTGAGGCTTCTTCTAGACTCCATGAATTACTATGAATGATTATTCCAATCAACAAAATTTTTTATATATATATATATATATATATATATATATATATATATATCCATAAAGTTCGTGTGCACTTTAAAGTTATAATTTTTAAAGTACACACGAACTTTATGGACACTGTATATATATATATATATATATATATGGACACACTGTGTGTGTGTGTGTGTGTGTGTATATATATATATATATATGGACACACATATATATATATATATATATATATATATGTATGTTTGTTTCAAAGAGAAGAGAGAAACTGCAAACGTTTTTGGTTTTAATGTAGATGTTTTAAATATATGTTATACTTAAAAAAAATTGGATTACTACTACACACAAAAGATAATGGTTACACATCGGAAAACATAAGTAGAAATTAATTCCTTTAAATTATGTGGAAATAACCACTTTTCGCCTGATGAAGGTCGAAACACCCGAAAAATAAAGGATAATATATATTTTTAAAAAATCACAAAAAAACGTTTGCGTCTTCTCTCTTCTGTTTAAAATATACAATTTCCTCTCTTGAGAACAACTATTAGGTCTCCATTATATATATATATATATATATATATATATATATATATATATATATATATATATTCGAAGCTGAATATACCCATTATAACACCAGATATGTTAAAGGGATATCAGGCACATGCATCACAAGCAAATGTACACAACATGATGAGAGGTTTCTCTATAAGCAGTGCATAACCTTGCAGATAGGACCCAGTTAGAATTATCTTTAGTCTGGGTAACCCAGTCCGCTCAGAACCTCTCTGAATGAAGGCGTCCCCGAGTAACTTTCAAGTTGCCTTAAATGCCTCATCCTTCAAAAAATCTCTAGGAACTTACATATGTTACCCTCTGCCGCTATACCCCCACTTATGAGTAGAAATGGGCTGTGCATTAATCCCTCGGGGACCTGCCCAATTGGTTATGATCAGGCAAGTAACAAACAAACCTCCATAACTAAAATCAGCTTAAATAGTAAAGAGAATCCTCGAATATATAGAAGTTTCCCATTTGTTCCCTTTGTATTTCATTAGTAAGGAGGAAGTTCCACTCAGGCAGCTTCTTCGCCTGAAATGGCACTTAGTACCTCTTGAAAGTCAACCTTCATTTATCTGACATATTCTGCTGATATACACTCATGATTTCCTTCTTTTTATGACCTTACAACAATCCTCTTTCACTAGCCTTGTGCAGGAAGAACAATACCATAAAGAAAATCTGTTAAAAATTAAACAAAATACGCCAGATTTTCCGTCAAAACGAGCAATTGAACACTGACCACTGATTTCATACGAGCAAATTATAACTGTATTTAAAATTCTGGTTAGGTACTGTGGGTATAAATTAAATTCTTAATCAATTTTTTTTTAAATGTAAAAATGGTATTTAAATATAAAAGAGTAAAGGAACTTTTTTTTTTACGTCGGTTTGGATTCATTTGGGGTTTGAGAATAGGAAAGACATAGGTACACATTTTAAGGATTGAGGACGGAGAAGTGATTCAGAAGGAAAGGTAGCAGGCAAATCCGTATTTTCCAAGCGTCTTTGGTCGCGACCATGAACACAGAGCTTTTGGGGTCCTGGCCTCCTAAAGGCGGAATTTTGTTCATCCATTCAATTATAATCAATTTTATTTTAATAAACATTATATCTCGACAACTCTTATATCGGCATAAGTAAAAGCAAGGCACAAACGACGTTCATGACAAACGTCAACATGGACGCCTGATTTGGATATAAAAAAAAAAGATATTACGACAACGCCAGATTTCAGCCACCTCATTGTACAAGTATTAAACGTATGGACGTCAGAATACGCCAAGAATTTTCGTATATTTATCTATACTTTATTGTACAATTATTTTACAGCTGATCCTTCGGGACGTAGGCGATCATAGCTCTCCACAGATTCCTTTCTTTATTATCTGTGAATTAAAATGCGTTCTTAGGAAAGACAATGGAGTGCTTTGTCTTTACGGTTTAAAAATCAAGTGATTTCATTCTCTTAGACTGTCTGGCAACTAGTGTTAAAGAACACAGTCTATCCTGCTATTTAACCCATAGCTGGAGAGAAGAGAAGAAATAGAATCATACCTGTCCCAAGATGACTTGTGTGAAAGTGAACGCAAATACACTGATCAGAAATTGATCTCGGATCACCTTGGATCGAAAACATCCTTTAGAAAGTACTAAATGATATTCTTTTATATTCCGAAACTGTGTTGGATTTTTTTTTTTTACATTTTTAACATATTCTTTATTTTTAATTTATTATAACCATTATTTTATATATATATATACAATTCCGCGACCTCAGGAGTATCCTGGCGACCCAAATGAACATACGCGACCATTAGTTTGGAAACTACGAATTTAAAGAGGTGTGTGTACTCTGAAACTAACCCAAGCGCCATGACTGCTGCCCATTGAAAGAGGCACTGGTTCTGGACAAAACATTCTGATCTACAAATAAAAATTAAAAAAACATACATCAGGGGGAAAGAACAAACGACATCTGAGAAAATAAAGATGGCGGTAATAAATAAAAATGGCGGTTAAAGCCTATCCAAACACGGGCAACTAGGTAAACAACTAAATACTACTTCTCAAGATATCATCAGATGCTCAATAATGTGTTCCTTGTGTCAGACTAAGCAAAGTTTTTACATATCAATTACACCGGTTCTTGTCAGATATTAGATAAGAAATATAATATATATGAAGCTGAATAACAACAATAAATTCCTGTGAAAATTTTAATTTTTTGATGAATCGTACTTCTTAATTTAATGAAAAAATAAGCTTCTTGCGAATTCTTCGACAATAAAATAGCCGTGCAAATTCCTCCATTGCATCTTTAAATATTTGAGTTTAGCAACTTTAACAAAATATTAGAACAATAATCATATATACATATAAATGCTGGTCATCATTTATAGAAGGTACAAATTAAAAAAAATTCAAAACTGACGAAGTTTTCCATTTCATTGAAGCAGACGTTAAACATATGGGAGTGTTATTACCTCCTCTATCTTCCCTTTCTTTCTTTCTTTTCCATTCCTCTCCTTAAACCCAAACAGCACCTTCGATATAAATGTTGTCTGTCATCTTTCCTTGCATTCAATCAATCGAAGGCGGTAGAAGTTTTCACATTCATTACGAAAGTGACATAAAAGGCGAGGCTGGAGTTTGAACTCGGACCGTCGATTCCATTTTCCTTGCATATAATGGATACGCTAACTGTACATCCTTATCCATCGATCATTTCTGTAATTTCTAGAGCTGAGAGGGCTGATAATTTACAGATCTGACCGTAGAAACTTATTCATTATAGACACCCTTCGAAGCTTTTAATAGATATTTGTCATATGAAATCACGTATTGTATTTATAATAAAACTAATAAAAAGTAACTAGTTTATTATCAAGCAGATTCTAGGTGTTGGTTGGAAGAACAAAAATTAAAGAAATAAAACATTTCACTGGAAAACGAATTATAAAAATAATAGAATATTAAAATAGGAGAAGAAAGAAAGAAAGAACGCGGAAATTTCAACGACAAAAGTAAAAACAAAGATGGCGGAAAATTATGAATAAAATTTATGGTTGATATGATTTGAAATTCATCCGTCTTCAACAAAATAAAATTTTCAGGTAAAAAAAAAAAAAAGATTGTGAGAGAAGTCGTTTAGACACCTCATATATTTTTCTCATTTCTCTTTTAATAAGCAGTCTAAAAATACATGAGTATATATATATATATATATATATATAGATATATATATATATATATATATATATATATATATATAATTTTTTAAATGGATACTATATCGAGCAAAATGTCTATGAGACATATAATTTTGATTGACAAAACTATCGATCGGGAATAAAAGAACCCTTTACCGCGTCAATTCTTATTGTCTCCTGTGTTAACTTAGGTGTCAACGAATTTTTTTTTCTTCAGTAGATATATATGTCTGCTTCAAAATTTTAAATGAAGAATATTTCAAATATGTTTTTATTTAAGACCTTGGCACGAGAAAATAAAATCTATTTTTCATTTCTTTCATTTTAGAATTTAAAAAATGTTTTCATGTGGAAAATAAAATAAAATTAAAACATTTTTTTTTTTACTATTGTTTCCTGGTAAGCGTTCAAATATATTTCTTCTCATAAAAAGTAATATAAAATTCAGTAAAGAAAGAAAAAAAAACTGCCGGCTAATTTTGGATAGGAAGGCTAAAAAAATGAATAAATAAAAATAAAAGCAGATATTCGAATGTGGCGCGCGAAGTGGACGTAGTCGCACATTGTGCTGCCGGGCTCCTGTAGACAACTCTATTCTCACCCAGTTTGCCAGTTTCTGGATTAGTGGATTTGTCTGATTTTTATTTTTATTTTTTTTTAATTGGTTGGAGGAAACTACAGTGTAACCCGGATATAAGAGAGTTGTCGGGACCGGAGAAGAAGTCTCTTATATCCGGGTTTGGTCTGTTTTGTTTAAGTAAGTATGGGCTCTAATTTGGGACCAGAGTAAATCTCTCTTATATCCGGGTTTCTCTTATATCAAGGTCTCTTATATCCGGGTTATACTGTATTAAAAATTTAATAAAAATGATAAATAATGTTTCATCGCAGAAATTATGACGACTTGCGACTATTAAATCTGCTACTACAAGGCGAAAACGATTAATAAAATTAGAAAAAGTGCAGTCAAGTATAGCAGTCAGCACAACAGTAGGTTATCTTTAAGGCTCCAAGTTCTACACAGAGAATTGTCCCACATGAAATTAGCCTAGTGGATTAAAAAGTTTGTTCGTAAGTTTGGTGAAATGGTGACTGTGAGATCAATATACCTGATGAAGCCCGGAGGAACAACGTCCAAAATGTTGTGAAAACAATAAGATGAAGACAGTAATCCAAATGTAAATAATATACAACTCCATATCATGGATATTCAGACAAAAAATAATAATTTTAACTTTATAATTTTGACAAATTTCTAGGAAATTTTTAAAAAATAGCAACTGCTAAGAAAAAGAAGATAATAATGAAAACACGAAGAAATTGTTGTGACCATCATTATCTGCGAGCTTGGAACAGTTCTAAAGAATCTTGCCAAGTAATTAAAATCCAAAGACGAATTTTAATTATCCATGAACACTAAGAAAGTTTTCTTAACGATGTTTCAGTGGCGTTACGGCAGGCGCCCAACTTCGAAAATGAGACACTGTCGGTTGATAAGTCATCGTGTAACAACCCGTTTGATGAAAAAGTCAATTTAAAGTGAGCCCGAGCATCATCAGGTAATCTTACTTGACTTGCTTAAATGTCTCGTTAAGAAAACACTATTATCATTGCTCGAATGAAACACTTTTTTTCCGGCATAGTTCTTAGCTCTTTTTCTACTTGTTATATTTTTCTGTGTCAGATTTAATTTAATTTCAGTTCATGCTAATCCTTCCTTAACTAAACGAAGATAAGTCGGGAAATGTCTAAGATGAAAAGGCAGGTCCCAGCTACTTAACATGGGTCTATATATAATTCCTTTAGTGGGTTTTGTCTGCTTGTGAGTTGGTTTTTTATGCTAGAGTGCGCACTTTGAAGTCATTATTATTATTATTAAGTTTTTTTATTTCTCCTTCCGTCGATTCCAAGAAGAGGATTTACCAGTTTGTGTTTTCTTTCTTTCTCAGGCCTGGTCAAAGGTTAAGAGAGAGGAAAGGAAGAAAACAAGAGAAAAATAAGACAAATTAGAGAGAAGATAGGGTAAAGAGCTGTAGGGAGAGGCAATAGAGAGAAAAGGGCGGGAGAAGTTTTGAAAGAGAGTGAGGGAGAAAAGAGTGAGTTATGAAAGCAATCAGAGAGGTGGAAGTGGAAGCATAAAGGAGAGCGAAAAAGTAGATTGAGAGGGGAAGAAGGTAGATAATGAGGAGAAAGAAGCAAGATAGAGAGAAGAAAAAGAAACGAGAGTGAGGAAGAAAGGAACAAGAGAATACAGAAAAGAAAAAAAATAGTGGAAAGAGGAAAGTTTTGAAAGTTGGAAAACGGGGAAAGAGAAGAAAGTGGAAGAGAGGGGGAAATGAGAGAAAGGTGGAAGAAAGGGGGAGAAGAAGGTGGAAGAAAGGGGGAGAGGAAGGTGGACGAAAAGGGAGAGAAGAGGAAGGTGGAAAAAAGGGGGAGAGAAGAGGAAGGTGGAAAAAAGGAGGAGAGAAGAGGAAGGTGGAAAAAGGGAGAGAGAAGAGGAAGGTGGAAAAAGGGAGAGAGGAAGGGAAAAAGGGGGAGAGAAGAGGAAGGTGGAAAAAAGGAGGAGAGAAGAGGAAGGTGGAAAAAGGGAGAGAGAAGAGGAAGGTGGAAAAAAGGGGGAGAGAAGAGGAAGGTGGAAAATTGGGGAGAGAAGAGGAAGGAGGAAAAAGGGGGAAAGAGAGGAAAGTGAAAAACGGGCAAAGGAGAAGAAGTTGGAAGAAAGGGGGAAAGACGGGAAGGTGGAAAAAAAGGGAGAAAGAGAAGAAGTTGGAAAAAAAGGGGAGAAAGAGAGGAAGTTGGAAAAAAGGGGAGAAAGAGAAGAAGTTCGAAAAAAAAGGGAGAAAGAGAAGAAGTTGAAAAAAAGGGGGAAAGAGAGGAAGTTTAAAAAAAGGGGGAAAGAGGGAAGTTTAAAAAAGGGGAAAGAGAGGAAGTTAAAAAAAGGGGAAAGAGAGGAAGTTTAAAAAAGGGGGAAAGAGAGGAAGTTTAAAAAAAAAGGGTTTAAAAAGGGAGAGGAAGTTTAAAAAAGGGGGAAAGAGAGGAAGTTTAAAAAGGGGAAAGAGAGGAAGTTTAAAAAAGGGGAAAGAGAGGAAGTTTAAAAAAAAAGGGGGAAAGAGAGGAAGGGGGAAAGAGAGGAAGGTGGAAAAAAGGGGAAAAGAGGAAGGGGGAAAAGAGGAAGGTAGAAAAAAGGGGAAAAAGAGAGGAGAAGATAAAAACGAAAAAGCTGAAATCCTAAGAATCGAAACTTACTTCCCGGAAATTAAAAATGACAAAAACAGCAAAGAAATGGATGAAATGAAAATAATAGCGAGAAACAAATTGGTGAACATATGAGAATTAAAAGTGATACAAAGCGAGAGCGATGTGGGTCATCAAAATTCCATAGAAAGAACATGTGAGCAACGAGGAAATTTTAAGGAAAATAGGAACTAAAGGGATACTTACAATCAGAATGAAGAAGTTGAAATTTATGGGATACATTATGAGGAAAGATGGCTTGGAAAATTGAATAGTTACAAAACTTTCTGACGCAGAAGAGGGGGATGCAAGCAGCGATTAACCTACTTGAAGTGTTTGTACGAATGCGAACTGAGAGAGATGAGTAAGTAGTCGATGGAGAAATAGTGGAGAGCCATGATCGCCCACGTTCTAAAGGGACTCGGTGGATAAAAGAAGATAAACATTAACGATGAAGAAAATGAAAAGAAAGTGAAAGAAAACAGGAAAAAGAAACATAACGAAAATAAGAAAGAAAGGAAGAAAGAAAGAAAGAAAGAAAGAAAGAAAGAAAGAAAGAAAGAAAGAAAGAACAAATGAAAGAAGGAAGGGGGCAAAAGAAGGAACAAAAAAGGAAACAAATAATGAAGGAAAGAAGGAAAAGAAACAAGGAAGAAAGAAAGGGATGAAGAAAGAAAAAGATGGAAGGATAGAAAGAAAGAAAAAAGAAAGAAAGAAAGAAAAAGGAAAGAAAGAAAGAAAAAGGAAAGAAAGATGGAAGGATAGAAAGAAAGAAGGAAAAAGAAGAAATGAAAGAAAGAAAAAGGAAAGAAAGAAAGAAAAAGGAAAGAAAAAGAAAGAAAAAGGAAAGAAAAAGAAAGAAAAAGGAAAGAAAGAAAGAAAAAGGAAAGAAAGAAAAAGGAAAGAAAGAAAAAGGAAAGAAAGAAAGAAAAAGGAAAGAAAGAAAAAGGAAAGAAAGAAAGAAAGAAAAAGGAAAGAAAAAAGAAGAAAAGAAAGAAAAAAGAAGAAAAAAGAAAATATAAGGCGGAGAAATGAGAAAAAAATGTAGGCGGGAATAAAAGAATTAATACAAGCAATGGGAATTTGAGAAAGAAAGCTAAAGGTTTTTAGTAAAAATCAGACGCAAGATGTCGGCGATAAGGGAGAAGACGGAGTAAATACGGGTAGGGGGGTGGATAGTATGGACAAAGAGTGAGGGGGGGTTTCGAATAAAAGAACAAAAAATAACTAAATAAATATTGAAAAGATAAAAAAAAATTAAAAAAAAACATCAACAAACTATTTCCTCTCATGTTTTTGATGTTGGCAATCGAATATCTGAAAAAATCTCCCCCTCCTATTCCACCACCTCCACCCGGTCCCCACCTAACTAAACTTCTATCCTCTCTGATCCGATCCTGTGTGTAGAACCTCACCAACTCGTTCGAGAAACACTTCTCCTCGTTTCTTTCCCTTCCCCCTCACCAACACCACATGCCATCTCTACCAATTCCAGCTAACCGCACATCCCCCACCAATGCTTGTTCGCTTTCCTTACCAAACTGTTCCGATATTTAATCTCCTCGGAGCTACGAATCTTTTTGCCCCAAAACTTTGATCCGAACTAGGCAAGTACTCTATCCGTTTTGGGGCAAGAGACAACAGCGTTCATTGACTTCTCGCTTTCTTTTTCTTTTCCTTTTTCACTTTAAAGCCTTTATTTCTCTCCTTCTCTTCAATTCACTTTTTCTTCTTTTTTGTTTTATTTATTTATTTTTATAACACCATTTCATTTTCTTTCCCAACTGTTTTTTCTTCAGTATCGTTCCTTTTCTTATTTTAAAAATTTACCTCCTTTTAAAAATCTTCCTCCTTTTTAAGAATTTTCCACCTTTTAAAGAATTTTCCTCTTTTTAAAAAATTTTCCTCTTTTAAAAATTTTCCTTCTTTTAAAGAATTTTCCTCCTTTTAAGAATTTTCATTCTTTTAAAGAATTTTTCTCCTGTTAAAGAATTTTCCTCCTTTTAAAAAATTTTCCTCTTTTTAAAAATTTTCCTCCTTTTAAGAATTTTCTACATTCCATGACTCTCCTGCATTTGTTTTTTGTTTGTTTTTTTTTCTTTGTTTAGGATTTTCTTTTCCTCACCAACTATTTTTTTCTTCCATATTCAAATTATTTTCTTTCAACGATTAATTCTTCTTAAACGTTTCTACCTTTTATTTCCTCATTCCCCCCCCCCTTTCTCGGTATTTCTTTGCTTTTTTTTTTCTTCCCTGATCCCCAAAGACGTTTGACTATCCAAATCATTTAAACTGATATCAAAAAGAAGTTGTGTACGAATATCTTTCAAGGTATAAGGAGACGGTACTTTTTTTTTATCTCACTGAAGTTTGGACCGAGACGAGATCAGAAGCGGAATCGAAACGTCAAGAGAGAAAAGGAAGGAAGGTCATAAAAAAGAAGAAAAAAGAAAAAGAAAGAAGGAAAAAGAAGAAAAAAGAAAAAAAGAAAAAGAAAGAAGAAAAATGGAAATGAGAATGTAAAGAAAGAATAAAAATGAAAGAACGGAAAATTGAAAAGATGGAAAAATTAATGAAAGGGAAAAATGAAAGGAAGAAAAACTGAATGAAAGGGAAAAATGAATGGAAAGAAAAATGAAACGAAGAAAAAAATGAATGAATGGAAAAGTGAAACGAAAAATAAGAAAAAGAAAAGAAAACGATAAAATAACAAAGAAAGAAGGAAAATAAAAGAAGAAAAATCCGGAATGAAAAAATATAAATATTCTCGGAATGAAGAAATCGCTGACAGAAAAAAAGGAAGAAAATGAAAAATATGAAGAAAGAAAAATGAAAATGAGACAGAAGGATGAAAAAAAGAACGATAAAAGAAATAAAAAGGTGTGGGGGAAGGAAGAAAGAATTAAAGAAACAAAAAAGAAAGAGCAAAAGTAAGTAAGGTAAAAAAGAAATTTAGAAAGGAAAAGAGAAGTGAAAGAGGAAAGGAGGCAGAAAGTTAAGAAAAAGACAGTCAAGGACTAAAGATCCAGATTTTTAAATGGTATGTAAAAACAATAAACGACTTTGAAAAAAAAAAAAAGAAATTAAGATGAAAGAAAACTGAAAGAGTAACGAAAGAAAGAAAAATGGAAAGAAAAAGACCTGAGAGGAAAAAAAAAAGTGGACGGCCAACAGAAATTAAAAAGAAACAAGAACCAAAGATTTTTGGCTCGCGTCTTTAAGAGTATGCACATATCTGTATGCGTTCACCGAAAGGCCGGCTTTGAGCACATATGGAATGATTCGGGCGTCTGGGGATGGGATGCCTCTTGAAGAAAACCACGTCGTGAATCATTTAATTCTTTAAGGATTACAAGGATCACGAGGCGATGAGGATATTAGTCATACGTTCCTATAAAAGATAAGTCGTCGCGGGTCGAGTCCGGACAACGCATTCTGATTTTCGCGTTTCGTCAGCCGCCATTTTTCTCGGTACTTCGCCATTATAAACCGCCACACGGATTGCTCTCTCCCGACTTATGGAAACATCGACACAATATCAAACCGTGGTCCTGTCTGAAGTCGCGAAGCTCTTATAACATATAATCAAAAAGCATAAGTAATCACGGCTCTCCACAACTTCCCGCCCATTGCAAAATTTCTTCCTTTATTATCCTTCCTATTCCTTGTTCTGTTACCGATTTACACAAGCTCGTTATATAGGTTCCTTTCTATTTTTTATCTGTCCTTTTTAACAATAATGTTCACTCAGTACAAGTCCCAAGAGCCACTCCGGGTAGAGGGATGCAGAGTAAGAGACACAGGGGAGGTAACGGTTAACACTAAACATGAACAGGTTAAGAGTGAAGGAAACGGGAATGCATCCTCTTGGGAGTTGGTTCCACAAAGAAACGGTTCCTGGGAAGAAGTAGTTCGACTAGAACTTGCATTTTGTCAATGGGATACGAAGAGAAAGAGGGTGGCTCGCTACAATGTACATTTAAACCTTTGACAGGGAGAAAACCTTCTCAAACGGATATAAATGATTTGAAAAGAATTTTAGAATGTTTAAAAAGTTATCACGGGATGTCTGGCAATAATTTCTGTATTCATTAACCAATATGACGACAATGCTAAACAAAGTTATTCAATGGGGCTACCACGCAAGACTGTTCACCGGGATCTAAAACTGATCATTCCGTGCTTTGATAGGGGGGGGCGCCTTAGTCGAAACACGTTATTTCCTGCATGCTTTTATCCTATATAATATATGCAGGCAAAGTAGTTATATATACAAATAAAGTTTACTACTGGAAATGCTATATCTATATAATAAATGCGAATGTTAGTGTGTCAGACTTTTTCAATTAAAGGGACACAACTCTATATCTTTCAATAGCTCATGTTACAGAAATTTGGGATTACCAATATTCATAACTGCGATTCTTTTCGGCGATTTTTTTTTTGTTTTTTTGTTTTTTTTTTTACGATGACAATTTTTATAACTTCGAAATAAATTTGGGAATAATCGAAATTAATTGCGAAATCCAGTAAATGTCATCCATGAAAAAAAAAAAAAGTTTGTACAGAATGTAAGGACCTACGCATATCAAATTGTCTTTAATTTGCGGCAGAAGAATTATCGTTGAACTTTTAAAAGGTAAGTTTTAATATCAATGCAATAGTTAAATGCAGCGATCAATTTTGAGTTTATTGTTGCCAAGTGCATACGGCAGGAGTATGTCGCGCAAAAAAGAAATCTCCGCCAACAGAGGACCAGATTGCAGCCAAAAGAGCCATGGCTGCGGCGAGGAAAAGAAAGTCCCTTGCAAATGAAAACCCAGATCAGTAAATGTTTGTACGGAAAGTAAGGACCTACGCACAACAGACTGTCTTTAAATTAAGTGGCGGCAGAAGAATTATCATTGAACTTTTAAAAGGTAAATTTAAATATTAATGTAATACTTAAATGCAGCGATCAATTTTGAGTTCTTCTTGAGTTTATTGTTGCCTATCGCATACGGCAGCAGTATGCCTTGCAAAAAGAAATCTTCGCCAACGCATGATCAGATTGCAAACAAAAGAGACAAGGCTGCAGCGAGGAAAAACTCCCATGCAAATGAAAACCTAGATCAAACGGCAGCCAGGAGAGTTTTCAGTGCTGAGAATATACAAAGACTTAGGGAATCTAAAACTCCTGAACGAGCCAAAGGTTCAATCAAGAACCCTCCGCAGGAGCTACCTTAATTGCCACCCAATAGTGTGGCTTTTAAGCTAGTTGTTAGAAAAACGCAACAAATTACAGAGCACTTATTTCGATTACCTGCGTTACTTAAAATGATTACTTCGCGCTTTTGAAGCTTCAATATGTACTATACTGTTAAAAAATATTAAATTAGGGCACTTGACATGTCTTTTGTTTCCGTTTTGTTTTATTTTCGTAATCTGAACGAGCCGGATATTATTTTTGTAGTTTTTACTTACAATTAAATCAGAATTACTGGGCACGTGGCCGAGTGGCTAGAATGTTCAGTGAGGCCCGAGTTCGAATTGAACCACGGTCGATTTGTCAGTAAGATGACTTCTCGGTTTTAACGGTCTGGGAGAGGCGATCCCAGCATGCGGCAAAATGCCTGAAAAGCATACCCCGGGTTGACCCAAGCCTTGAGAGGGAAATTGGGTAGACGGAACCCTTTGGGGCCTTCGATGGTTGTGCTAGAACGAAGTCACATGCCATTGTGACTGAGAGTTTGTGTGTACTGGCCTTGTTCAGATTATTGATCACGCTAGATAATACGCTTCTCTCCCAGAAACTGTAAGTAAGGTCTGCTCAGCATAGTTGCAGTATAAACCACTGGTGGGTCCAGTCGGTTTTGAAAAAACACAAATGTGCCTGAGAAGACGTCTTCAGATGGAGATTGGCTCGCCACACTAGTAGACCAGAATCCTTGGATATGATTGGTTAGCCATTTTTTAAAGCGGAACTGAATATAAAACCATACTTTAAGGAAATTATTTTTTCTTGTTTTGGACCCAATTGACATGCACAGTCGTGCAAATTTTCCCTGCTGTTTAAGGTTTAAATAGGTCGCTTATAAATAAATGGTACCATATCTTACATTGATTATATTTCTGGTTCAGGTCACCTCAAGGCGGTGTAATGGTTAGCAAGCTTATCACGCTAGAACAATTACAATTGAGTAGTTAGTTCAATCCTCACTGGGTGACCCTACTTTCGGCCTTGTGCCACATCTAAGCTATGCTTAGAAAGTCACTATATCTGGTTTCAGTGTGTGTATGCGTCTGTGTGTAATTTTGTGTATATTCGCATTCGATATAAATTTTGCTGAGAAAAACGAGAGGTCAATTGCCGAAAATGAGGCTAGAGTCGATGACCCGTCAGTTCCAATTCTTATATTTAGGGGCTAATGAAAAAATCGGATAGGGTTCCTTGTCGAAGACCGGGAACAGTGGAGAAATCGAGAATGAACTGAATGACCT